GGGGAGCCGAGGTCACCCCCGGGCACCCCTGGGCTGCGGGGCCGCGGCGCCCCGACACCTGCCGGGCCCTTGGGCAGGGTGCCCGGGGCTCCGGGTGGGAGAGGAGGGGAAGGTCCTACCCGCCGCCCGCCCGCCCGCTTTGTCTCCTCGCTCCGCCTCCTCCCCCCTCGGCAGAGCCTTGCTCGGCGCCAGGGGAATTCCCACCCCCCGGGAACCGCCAGCACGGCTGAGTGCAGAGAGACTGGGGGATGCACCGTGACGTGTGCGGGTGCTTTGTTTGCTTTGGGGGGAGGATCAAGCACTCCAAGTCTTCCTGCATCAAGACAGTGAAAATGCAACATCTACCACAAACTTCCAGCAGCACAAACCTCTCGATCTTGCTTTCTTTCCCATTAAAAAAAACCCCCAAAACATTTTGGGTTTGCCCTAAAGATACAGGCAATAATTCACTATCATTAAACTTTTTAATTCTTTGCTACCTTTCAGGTCCTTCAGGGTGATCCTGAACCTCATCGCTATAACCATCAATATCCTACCTGAAACACAGGCCAGAGTGATTAGTTACTCTTCCTCTGACCTTACTCACAACCTGCTGGTTCTGAAAATTTTCTACAGAGGTTAGAGAAAAACGTCACTTGTGTGTTTCTAGGTGAGTCTAGCCGGGGGCCGGTTCTCTGCTTCATAAGGATGATACAGAGCTGCTCCAGCAGGCTCTGCTCAGAGTCAGTGCAGGGCTAAAATGCTTCTGTGCTTGAGCTCTGCTCTGAACCTTGCAAAAGTACTCACATTTCATTTTCAGAAAACAAAGGAGCTAGGCACTGTCATCCAAGTTATATTTGCAGTATGGTGTTCCTTTGCCATGAATACTTGTCATCTTCTGTCTTGATTATTACAACATCTTTTCCTCTGGCCTTGAAAGACACGATGTTGCCACCTTTATTGAAAATACCTAGGTATGCCACACCTGCACAATGTCAAGGAACACTTTGTTTCTATCTGTTGTATTGCCCTTTACATTTTTTAATCCTTCCTTCTACAAGCACCTGTAAAGCTCTTCAGTTTTTTTTTAGATAAGAAGAAGCCCCTTATTTCTTCAGAGGTCCATTCCAACCCCTAATATTCTGTGATTCTCACTGTTTTAGCATAACGTTGTTTTGGTCCAAAATTTGGGATCCTCCATGCTACTCCAGGAATATCTTGAGGAATTCTTACCAGCACTGTGTTTGGTCTGCTCTGGCACTGCTTGGTAGTCCTCTGAAAATCAAAATGTGCTTCTGTACCTGGAAATAAAAAGGTCAAATTTGAGACAACATGGTAATTTTTTCTATCAGTTTTAGTACTTTAGGATTTTCTTCCCTGACAGTAACAGAGAAAGAATTTCTAAAGGATGACTGATTTGGAAGTCTAAAGGACACATGATAATTATTGGTTTACTGCTTATTACATAAACCTTTAATTACCACTGAAGGGGCAGAACTGCAGACACGGCAATGCCAGTAAACTGCAGGATTTATAGCCTAAAATCTTGGTGCTAAAGATGGCTGATCACAGGGCTCCACCCTGAGAAATAGCATGGTTGTAAAAGCACCTCACGTTGTTCACAGGTCCACAGAGGCCATAGGAAAGGTAGTTGGTAGTTAACTCGGAAACAATAATATGTTGCTTAACAAGTACAATTCACAATTCACATCAAATGGGAAGAATGCAGGAAGGTAACACAACTTACAATGTTTATGGGCCATTCATTACCCATCTAGCAAACAACATAATTTTTAAAGCCAACTTTCTCTCCTCAGTGACTTACTTTATCATCTTGGATGACACCAAGCTGAGCAGTGTGGTTGATACGCTTGAGGGAAGGGATGCCATCTGGAGAGACCCTGACAGGTTTGAGGAATGGGCCCATGTGAGCCTCTTGAAGGCCAAGTGCAATGTCTTGCATCTGCATCAAGACAATCACCAGTATCAGTACAGGCTGAGGGATGAGTGGATTGAGAGCAGCTGTAGAGAAGGATACTACTTGGGGATACTGGTAGATGAAAAATGGGACATGAGCTGGTGATGTGCACTTGCAGCTCAGAAAGCAAACTGTGTCCTGGGTGCATCAAAACATGTGTGGCCAGCAGGTCAAGGGAGGTGATTGTCCTCCTCTATTCCACTCTGGTGACACCTCACCTATAGTATTGTGTCCAGCTCTGGTCCCCAGGACAAGACAGATATGAACCTGTTGGAGTAGGTCCAGAGGAGAGCCACAAAAAATGATCAGGGAGCTGGAAAACCTCTCCTGTGAGGAAAGGCTGAGAGAGTTGGGCATGTTCAGCTTGGAGAAGAGAAAGCCCTGGGGACACCTTGGGGCAACATTTCAGTGCTTCAAGAGGGTTTATAAGAAAGACAGAGAATTTTTACTGGGGTCTGTAGTGACAGGACAGGAGACAATGGTTTAAAAATAAAATGCAGTAGATTTAGAATAGCTATAAGAAATAATTGTTTTATGATGAGGGTGGTGAGAGGAGGGCCACAAAGATGATCAGAGGGCTGAAACAGCCCTGCCCTGGAGACAGGCTGAGAGAGTTGGGGTTGTTCAGCTTGGAGAAGAGAAGGTTCTAGGGAGGGAGAACTTGGGGCACCTTCCAGTATCTGAAAGGGACCTACAAGAAAGCTGGAAAGGGACTTTTGGCAAGGGCATGGAGTTATAGGAAGAGGGACAATGGTTTCAAACTGAAAGAGGGGAAATTTATATTGAGTATTAGGAAGAAATTCTTTCCTGTGAAAGTGGTGAGTCACTGGAACAGGTTGCCCAGGGAAGCTGTGGATGTCCCATCCTTGGAAGTGTTCAAGGTCAAGTTGGATGTGGCTTTAAGCAAATTGGTCAAGTGGAAGGTGTCTCTGCCCATGGCAGGGGTTTGGACTAGATTATCATTAAAGGTCCCTTCCAACCCGAACCAGTCTATGATTCTATTATAAGTACATAGTCCTACCAATCTAATGTGGTACTGAACAGGATTATTACATGACAATGTAGGCAATCAGTTAAGGAAGATTTCTAAGCAGGTACGTCTTTTTTGATCTATAGGACCAGAATTACCTCCATTACCAAAATATTTATTTAAATCATTACAAACGAGCTAAATCACAAAATAATAATCTCTCTTCCAAATATTTTTGAGGTGTACTTTTCTATTATGTAACTATTTTTTTTCCACTGTGAAAATCAAGCATGTCCTTCTAGTACCCTGGCAAAAGTAGAAAGTATTGTGTATCCAACCTTATCTGACAGTGTGGAAGGTCTAAAGCAAAAAGATGCAAAATATTTTAACTAAAGTGAAAGCTGGATAATACTCATAAGTGCAACTTAAATCAAAGAATCATCATATTCCAACATATTTTTGCCACTCTACTCAGTTCTGTGTTGGAAGTAAGAGGGAATCATAGATTTTTTACCAAGAACTCTGGAAAACACAGCTTGCCATAGACGTGTGATGAAGCCTTTCAGTTTCTATGCCCTGTGCTCCCAGGGCTTCAGGTTCAAAGACTCCTCCATGTTACAGGGAATATCTGCAATGGTGCTCAGTCCCACTGAGGGAAGAAAAGAAACTTCAATACCAGTGAAGATGTTCCTAATTTGTCCCTTGAACATGTATGTGAGAGCCAGGGATGGTCTTGTTCAAATGACATCTACTGCAGAATCGAACCTTTAATTTCATTGCTCAGGAATGTAAAACTGGAACCAAAATAAACAGAACTTTTTACATTATTTTTTCCCCCTATTTTTTACTGTCCATTGTTAACTACAAAGTATTTCTTTTCTTCCACAGATAAAATGCCCCAAGAAAGTTTTAGACAGCAGCTTGGGAATTATAGAAAAAAAATTTATCTCACTGCATCTCAGGCAAATTGAAGTACTTACATATGAATCAAATTCTGTTCTCAAGCACACACACGAGTCCCCATTAAAACAGTGTAAATACACCCAAAGGGCAAATTGGACAATTGAAATACTTTTAGAAAATGGAAGCTAACCAACAAAGTTAATTGAAGTGAAGAAAATAATTAATTTTAAATGTCAAAATACTGACTAATGTTCTAATTACTTTTCTACTTATCAGCAAACAAAGAGTGAAGCATGAGTGGAATGTTCTTGCTGCTGATGGAAAGAATGACATCACCTTCTCTAGAAAAACACTGGAGCTATTTTAAAGCACTACCATGATTTTATCATAAAAGTTTAAATTACAGTTATTATTGTAAATTATCTGGAAAAAAAAAAAAAAAAAAAGCAGTTTTAAAGGCTTTTCAAGTGTCTGGCAGAAAAGAACCTGGGGGTTCTCATTGACATAATGGTGACAGATAAATGTTGCCATCTACAAAAAGTTTTCACCTCCAGTGTTCCCCCAGATTACCTTCTCTGTTTCTCTTCCAAATCTATCAGTCCACTGATAGCAACATGCCTTGGTCTTTGTTTCCAACATTAGACCAAATGTATAACTTATAGAATCATAGAATCATAGAATCATAGAATCTTAGGGGCTGGAAGGGACCTCGAGAGATCATCTAGTCCAACCCCCCTGCCAGAGCAGGGTCACCTAGAGTACATCACACAGGAACTCATCCAGGTGGGTTTTGAATGTCTCCAGTGAGGGAGACTCCACAACCTCCCTGGGCAGTCTGTTCCAGTGCTCTGTCACTCTTACAGTAAAAAAATTTTTTCGGATATTCACCTTGAACTTCCTATGCTCCAATTTACACCCATTACCCCTTGTCCTATCACTGGTCATCACTGAGAAAAGCCTAACTCCGTCCCCCTGACACTCACCCCTTACATATTTGTAAACATTGATGAGGTCACCCCTCAGTCTCCTTTTCTCCAAGCTAAAGAGACCCAGCTCCCTCAGCCTTTCCTCATAAGGGAGATGTTCCACTCCCTTCATCATCTTCGTAGCTCTGCGCTGGACTCTTTCGAGCAGTTCCCTGTCCTTTTTGAACTGAGGGGCCCAGAACTGGACACAATACTCCAGATGTGGCCTCACCAATGCAGAATAGAGGGGGAGGAGAACCTCTCTTGACCTACTAACCACACCCTTTCTAATGCACCCCAGGATGCCATTGGCCTTCTTGGCCACAAGGGCACATTGCTGGCTCATGGTCATCCTCCTGTCTACCAGGACCCCCAGGTCTCTTTCACCTACACTACTCTCCAGCAGTTCAGCCCCCAACCTGTACTGGGACATGGTATTGTTCTTCCCCAAATGCAGAACTCTACACTTCCCCTTGTTGAATTTCATCATGTTTCTCCCCGCCCAACTCTCCAGCCTGTCTAAGTCTCTCTGAATGGCAGCACAGTCTTCTGGTGTGTCAGCCACTCCTCCCAGCTTAGTGTCGTCAGCAAACTTGCTGAGGGTACATTCTATACCCTCATCCAGGTCGTTGATGAAGATGTTGAACAACACCGGTCCCAGTACCGACCCCTGAGGGACTCCACTAGTCACACACCTCCAACCAGATTCTGCCCCATTGACTACAACTCTCTGACTCCTTCCTTTCAACCAGTTCTTGATCCACCTCACTACCTGATCACCAAACCCATACTTGATCAGGTTATCTACAAGGATGCTGTGGGAGACGGTGTCAAATGCTTTACTGAAATCAAGATAAACCACATCTACCGCTGGTCACTGTAGAGAGGTTGGTGCTGGTCTCTTTTCACAGGTAATTAGTGACAAAACAAGAGGTAATGGCTTCAAGCTGAAACAGGGTGGGTTTAGACTAGACATTAGGAAAAACTTTTTCACAGAAAGAGTGGTTAGACACTGGAATAGGCTGCCTAGGGAGGTGGTTGAGTCACCATCCCTGGATGTGTTTAAGGGTCGTTTGGATGTGGTGTTGGTGGATGTGGTTTAGGGGAGAACTTTGTAGAGTAGGGATGGTGGTTGGACTCGGTCCTTCCAAGGGTCTTTTCCAATCTAAATAGTTCTATGATTCATATATACAAACTCCTACACTTAAGGAGTGTAAGAACAGTAAGAGTTTTTGAAGGTTTGTAACTCTGCCTCTACGGTTTTTTACACAACTGTAGGGCCTGTGAGTGCTACCAGTATGACATTATTGACAAATTTCAAGTGTGAGCTTCAATCTATGAGAGCTAAAAAAGCTTCAGGATGAAAGAGCTGTTAACATAAAAATTCCTGCCATCACCAAAGCAACATTTTTTATCCTAACTCATTTTTAGACCTCTAAGTGGAGCATTTTAACTGGACCTTTTATTCTCATAGTGCTTCTCTAAGTGCTCTGCAGCAGCAGGCAGGGCTCTAATCAAAATCAGGGCTCTTCTTACTTATACCAGAGAGTGTGGCCTCCATAAACTAAAGAATAAAGTAAGGTTATTCTTATATTTAGGATTGAGAGACATATTTTTATGCTACTTTTAGAAGAACATACTGTTAAACTATTAATAAACTGTTCAGGTAAAAGAAAGCATGGGGGGGAAGGAAAAATCACATGAACTACAGAGGCAGTAGAAACAATCCCTTTACAAAGAGAATGTAAACCAATCCAGAAGCAAGATTCTCTGAAACAGAAGAGGAAAATCTGGAGAGTATAAGACTTAACATAGTTGACTAATTAAATTATGTGAAAATAAAACAAATTTAATATAGGAACCATTACACTGGAAAATATTATTTACTTCCTTCAGTTCTGGATATCCTTAACACAGGAACAGAAAAAAACACAGAGGTAATCAGATTGTCAACATGAGTAAATAAGCACCTATGAGAAGCACAGCCCCATTATTTATCATGACACTCCAAACCAACTATTAATTAAGATATGCTTAGTCAAGCTAAACCCAGCACATAAAACCATATAAAGTACCTAGTCCTTAAACAACCATGAAAGCATCTCTGCAAGCCCCACCTATGGTCTTTATTATAATAAAATGAAATTTAAAAAATAATAACATTTGAACAGCTATGTTATCCAAGACACTCAAATCACTTCTTCATTTCCAAGAACCAGTTGACATATCTGTAGCCTGCCAATGTTAATAACTTGTCCTTGGT